TATATTTCCTTCTTATTATTATCAATTTTGTATTAAAGAATAATTTTACAAAGGAAAGAAACATATATGGACATATTTTGTATATAATTATATATAATTATATATGGAACTTTTTTCCCGGGTCATATCGAAAAAGCTTCTTTTCCTAGTTGTATTTTTATATATCGGTCTAGTGTCATGGTTGTATTGCTTTTATTACTATTAAAACAAAAAATTGCATCTTAAATTATTTAGACTGATCTTGTTTCAGCATTAAAAAAAGTAACGGAAAAGTAACAAATCGTTACTTTTTAAATAACGGTAACGATAACGAGTTATTTTTAAAAATCAGTAACTAATAATGGTAACTAGTTACTTTTTTAACTCGGTAACGAGTAACGGTAACTAGTCACTTTTAAAAAGTAACTTTCCATTCCCTGATGGATAACACCACGAAACTCACGCTCGACACATCGCGGACAGCATTGTCCTTCCGGATGCTCCAATCTGGAATTTGGCGGGCAACGAAAGTTCATCGGCGGACACTGAGGCATTGCGCAGCGTACTTTACCCTGTTTGCAGGTGCATGTCTTGCAGGAATCCAGCTTCCAATTTTCGCCATCCTGCCTAGGACAAAAAAGATCGTTTAAACCACGACAAGGCAGTAGAACGCAAGGCGGTAAAGAAATACGAAATGAAAAAATATCTCGCGAAGATTCGCAACAAAATCGACTTTTTACTTAAAAGTATCGAAAGTCAATTAATATGATATCGAATTGTTTTAATTCAAATAATATTCTCTACAAATTTTTTATTAGAGCTTTATATATGTATATCAAAATTTCGCAACTATCCGATAAATATTTGTTCGATAAATATAAATATAAAATAGTTGCTGACTTGGTTCCTGCTAGCTTAGATAGAAGTTATTCCCCAAGTTCAGTTTCTCATTTCGCAATCAGGTTGCACGCGCGACGGATAAAACATTGCATGACAGCGAATAAAAGCGCGTGATACTCGCCACATAAGTTCTTCCGCCGTAAGAGCAAGAGGCTCTGCTCTCCTCGACCTGCGGGCATTTCAGGCAACAGTTGTTGAGCTCCCTCGTCTGATGTTCTTTGGGACAGTCCAGTATCGGACAGGTCTTCCTCTCGCACGAGAGCGCCGAATTGGCGCAGGTGCAGTCCGTACAGTGATCCGGGCGAAACACACTGCCCGAGTCATACAAACGCGTGCCGAGCATGCACGCGCCTTTCGGAGGCGAGAAAAATCTTGCACTACCTGCGTGTAAGAAGTAGCGTTCTTATAATCTTTTCGCTTGAATGTGTGCTACTACGACCAACGATCGAGCTATACAAGCGAAGCAATTTCCGAGTCGTTTTCTTGTCGTTTGCTTGTCACTTGTGCGAATTATTTTCTCACGCATAACTGTATATCTGATGTTATCTACAGTCCAGTGAGATACGTGTATTTATAGGCAATAATATTTGTAAATTTTATGTTAATTTTATGTGTAGTATTATCTAATTTATGCAGCGTCTTAACGCCACCACATGCATTTTTTTATCCGACGTAACTGTCGCGATATACTTCGTACCTTGCATTATATTTTAATGTAGAATTTGAAAGTTGCAATGAGACACGTGTAGCTAAATGGCAGCGCGTATTCTTGGATGGCAATATCCGTAATATTATGACAATCGTGTAATATTATGTGCGGCTGGTTTTTGCGCAATTGCGACATTGGAAAATAATCAGATTCGTATAAAACCGGTTCGCGCCTCTGGTATTGTAAGAGAGATCGGAATGACCTATAAATTCAAAGTGACTTTAATTGTTTGTGAAATTGCCTAGAAAATGTTTCCTTTGAAAAATGTTGAAATAAAACTCCGGTCACTATTAATTTGATCGCTCGGCATCGAAATGCTTACGCAATAAAGCAATACCGCTGTATCTTTATATATAATGTTACACCTATATTTTAATTAGTGAGCTCATACGTTGTGAAGAAACAACGTGTTATACTACCGTTATCTAAATTGAAAATGTGTACAAATGAAGATAATTGAAAATAAGCAAATAATAACAAAGAAACAGATTTTAAGAGGCCTGGTTTAGCACGCTGAAAAATTAGATGACTTTTTTGGAATTTTTTTTGGAAACTATTCAACCAATCCTTTTGAACTTTATAGAGTAATTTCTTAAACTATTGAACAAAAAAATATTTTTTGCCAGAAAAAAGTATTTATTATGCAAATAATAATAAGATTTATTCGGCGGTGATGTTTGGCGGCGTGTGATATAACTCAAAAACTACTCATTCGATTGACTTTGCATACATCTGCACAAATACTTCTCTAATAACTTGGACCACAGTTTATAATAATATTATTTAATTAAATAATTTTTATTGCATAATAAACACGAAAAATTTTTTGCCAAAATCATTACTCTTTTTTCCAGGTATCGCGATTTTCACAATTTCGCATTATTTTCTTTAAAAATAGGTTTAGTTAATGCGTAAACTCTTAATAAACAATAATCATTTTGGAGTTTTTATGTCAGACAAATACAAGCGACGCTACATTGCATGCCGCCCGCCAATGCATCGAATAAAAAGTTATTATTACTTGCATAATAAATACTTTTTTTCTGACAAAAAAATATTTTTTTGTTAGTTCAATAGTATAAGAAATTACCCTTTAAAGTTCGAAAAGATTGGTTGTATAGTTTTCTAAAAAAAAATTCCAAAAATCACCTAATTTTTCAGCGTGCTAAACCAGGCTCCCCCCTTAAGCACACAATTCGACGGGTCATTATTTTAGAAAAAGACGAGGGAGTAACCACTCAGAAAAACATATGTACACCTTGACTTCTGACTTCAAGACTTCATCGAATTTCACGGACTTCACCGTACTACATTGGAATTCATCGGACTACACCGGTCTTCATCGGACTTCGTCGGACTTCACTAGACTTCTTTTATGATATGGTTGCCACTTTTCGCATCTTCGTCTTGAAACACCAACAAAATTTTTCAACAAACTTCCAGACGAATGTTAATGTCCAGACAAGGGCAAAACTTTCAAAAAACTCGATCGAAACTGATGACTTTTTTTTTTTAGAAATTGGACTACATTTTCATCAAACTACATCGGACTTCAATAGACTTCAGCGAATTACATCAGACTTCAACGGAATTCATCGGACTTCAAGGAATTCAACGGAATTCAAAGGAATTCTGACAGGTTGTACACCGAAATTCAAGAGTGGTTACCCCCTCGGAAAAAGATAATTTTTTTTAAACAATTTAGATACATAGACTCACTAGAATATCAAACATATATTATAATTTTTTTTTCTTTTCGAGGTAGAGGCACAACAATTATTGTATCTCAAATAATGAAAATTATATGTAACTCCTTTCACCTCGACAATGCGGACAGCATTCCCCAGGTTCGTTGACGATCCTCGAGGGAGGACAATTAAGCGTTGGACAGGCTTGCTTCGCGCAGGTGAGGTGTCCTTTGTTGCACCTGCAGGTTACACAGGGGTCCTCCGTCGTTGTCACCGATCGATCCTCCGTTACCTTCTGCCCGTTTGCTAAGCATCCTACAAAATGCGGCAAGATCGAACGTTTTGCGTTTTATACAAGTAAACTATTTTAAGTATCGGACGCCGATTTATTTTATACTTTGGATTTTGATTCGAGATACCAAAAGATGATTTTTCATACAAAAACTAATTGCTCAATATTAACCGTAGCGCTTATACACGGTATCATCTCATTTTTATAATAATGGATTAAAATACTTTAAAAATAACATACATTTCACCCAAAAATGTTCCAAAAAAAAGTTGCTTGGTTTCGAAAGACATGTAAAATAGTAATCTTCATCAGAATAAAGCAGCAGAATAAAAAAAGGAATCGATTTACGTAAAAAAAATCATATATTATATAAAAAATTTAGTTAACGTAAATAAGACTTTTGTAGGAACTTCTAGGTTAAATGAATATTTTACGTTTTTCGAAACCAAGTAACTTTTGTTTGAAACATTTTTGGGAGAAATGCGTTATTTCTAAAGTATATTTTATTCCATTATTATAAAAATGAAATGTCCTGTATAAACGCCACGATTAATATTGAGCAATCAATTTTTTTACATAATAAATCATTTTTTGGTATCTCGAATCAAAATCCAAAGTATGAAACAAATCGGCGCGTCTAAATAAATAGCGTCTGAAACACTTGAAATATTATAGTTTACTTGTTATAGCTTTTTCTTTTTCTCTGTATTCAGATGCGTGTACCGTTGTATTTTTTATCGCATCGAAATATTAATATATGTATATAGCATGTGAAACATATGTCAGCACGGAAATGAGATCGCAGTTATATATCATTTGTACGATGCGAGATCTTATGGAGACATCCTGTTAAATTTATTATATTATTTCAAAGAAAAAGGAAATGTTACAACGTACTTACATACGTTACACACAGTAAAAAACGTATTGTATTTATGTCAAAAACGGTCTATTTACATTTTTGTTAAAATTTTGTGTCGAATTTTTAACATATTTGCTTGTTAAATTAACATATTATAATTATGATTATGATATTTAAATATTTCGCGTTTTCATCAAATTGATATTCAATATTTCTTAGTGTCCAAATAACACAATTTATAAGTAAGTGAATAAATAACATAAAAATAAAGTAGTTTTAAATCGTAAATTCTAAGTTAAATAAATAAAATATGAATAAACTTGTTAATTTTACTGAAGAATAATGTTTCCACAATTTGTTTCCAAATTGTATTAAAGTGTTACATTTTTTGTGTTAATTTTATACAGTGTTTGTATTACTTTCTATAACATATTCATCTTGCGTTAAATTAATGCAAAAATTTGAGTAAACCGTTTGGGACATGCAAGATGTGTTAATTTAACACAAATTTTTTAACTGCACGAACACGTCCGTACAGTTTTTCGTCGAGTAGAAGCGGCGGCTGTAATTTTCAATCATTATCGTTCTTCCCTCGTTATATCGGCGGAACATTCCAGTTTTAATTACGCGGCGGACAATCAGGGGATCGTGAGAAATATTTATGAGATTGACGAGGCCGGTAATTAGCGGTAGCATATAGCAGCAACATCAAAGTGTGCGAGGGAAGAAGAAAAGTTACACATACCTTCGCATATGGGACAACACTGGCCAGGCGGGGCCTCTTTCGGATGGGAGCAGGGCGTGTAACACAGTAGTTCTGATTTGGTGATAACACCCGCTTTACAGGTAAATATTTGGCAGGGATCCTTTTCCTCCGTCCATTCCGTGTCCGATGCATGATAAACGCCGTTCTGTTTGCACCCTGCAGCAATACGTGAAAGCGACCGGAATCCTCTCAGTATTCATTTCAATCATTCTACACTTTTATTTTTTTGAAATCTCACATTTAATAATATACGTATAACGATATACCGAATTAAACGTTAATTGTGAAAATGGCATATTGGAATAAATATTTGGATAGGCAGAGACGGCAAATCATTAGGATAGTATATGCTGAATTTTTTGGCTAATGTGGAGAGAGAGAGAGAGAGAGAGAGAGAGAGAGAGAGAGAGAGAAAGAGAGAACATCCTTATTTCTTGCTTTTTAAAATAATAAATCCAATCTACAATGCTCTTTGCTTTCTGTTTTTTTTCTATTTCTTTACCTCTTGTCTTTTTCCTTCTTTGCGATCGACAATCGTGTTTCTCGTCACGTGTTTCATGTCTCTTCCGAAAGTTCATCAATTCTTTTATCCTGGGCGAAAATGAAGGATCAGAGGATAAGAGGCAAAAAGGCAAGAATGGTAAAAAGCAAAAAAAAACGGAGCAAAGAGCACATCATAGATTAGGCTATACTGTCGGCAATTTTACGTTTCGTTCCTCATGCGATTATCTTTGCGATTTATCTTTACATTTTTCTCGGCGTGGTTCATTCAAATACTATCCGGGCGGATTTTGTCTTCGGCGCTACGCGGCAAACGGACTTACGTCACCATTAGCATAATTAATAGTGGACGATAACGAAGACCGCACGCATCTGTCAGCTACGTTTCGTAAACAGAGAGAGAGAGAGAGAGGGAGAGGGAGAGCCGCGAAAGGCTGTAACGCTAAAGTTCCTCGGGTTTATCATCGTGTCGGCAAACAGAAGTGTCTTTGTGCCCCAGGGAACAATGCTCTGTCGGCTGAGCATTCCGCGAGTTTTCGCCTCTTTCCTTCTTACCGCCGCCGCGCCGCCGACATACTCTCCCTCTCTCCCATTTTACCTCTTTCTCTCTCTCTCTCTCTCTCTCTCTCTCTCTCTCTCTCATCCCGAGACGAGTAAACTCGAGCCAATTAGAATGATTAGAATGTTTAGGATAATTAGATGAATTAGCATTCTACCTGTGCATGTGTGGCAGCACTCGTCGTCGCGTGGGTCTAGCAGTGCATAGCAACCTTCGATGTTCGGGCATTGTCGCTTCAAACACTCCACGAAGCCGTTCTGGAAAGGAAAGGGATGAAAGTTTATTTCTCTTGCATACGGACAGAAAGTACACACGGGGTGATTTACCAAATTACTCGCACATTTTCTATCTAATTTTTATATGCCTCTGGAAAAATGGCAACTTCTGAGACATTATATGTACACAGTTGAAAAATGTGTGTTAAATTTAACACAGCTCACATGTTCCAAACGGTCCACTCAAATTTTGGTGTTAATAAAACGTTAGGAAGTAACACAAACATTATGTAAAAATTAATACAAAAAGTGTAACACTTTAATACAATTTGGAAACAAATTGTGGATACTTTCCTTCAGTAAAATTAACAAGTATATTTATCTTTTATTCATTTATTTTAGAATTTACGGTTTAAAACCACTTTATTTTTATGTTATTTATTCATTTACTTATAAACTGTGTTATTTTGACATTGAGATATATTGAATATTAATTCAACACAAAATATTTAAATAACATAATCACGTTATGTAAATTTAACAAGCAAATATGTTAAAAAATCGACACAAAATTTTAACAAGAGCGTGAGTGGCCCGTTTGCAACATTAATACAAAAACGGTTTTTACTGTGTTAGACTGTCGATTTATGTATGAGAGAAAAGTGTCTCGATTTATATTTGTAATCCTATATAAGGGAAAGGAATATCTATTTAGCCCTAAATATGATTTATTATACATCCGCTTGGAATATAAAATTCACTGTACTATCCGTAGGATAATAGATTCAAACATGATGATTTGCTAATATTACCACTTTTTACAAGCATCAGATTTCGTTACGTTTTGGCATGAGAAAAATCGCGACGCGTGAGCTGCGAGAGAAGAATGTGGACACTCTAAATAAAACGTATTATGAATCGGGAATTTGGCCGGCGATTGAATCATGCCGCGCGCCACGCGTCGCGCAACGCGGCGACAGCGAAATAATTCCGGCTTGACTTTTTTTTTGTCGGCCGTCTTATTCCAATTTCTCGTCCACATTATCGCGTTCCAAGTAATTATTTCTTCGGTTTCGTTATCGGGTTCTATAATTAAGTCTTTACGGATTTATCTTCTGTCAGAATTACGTAAACTAATTTAACGTGGGTCGGACGCCGCGGTCGTATGAGTACGTACCAGACGCGCGAGATGGACCTAATTAGGCGTGCCGCGAGAAGAAAGATATCCGCTTTTTAGGCTCCCCCGCCTAAAACTGACATTTTTACGCAACGAAATTAATTAATCATTTCCGTAATAAATATGCGGAGAGATAAAAACAAGCAGTATTCATGAAACGAGCGTAGATAATTAAAGACTTAGGAAAAATACACAAGTTCAATGAAGGAGCACAGTATCTTGCAATTACATGTGTAATAATTAAACGTCTACGCATAAACTTGATTTTTGCTATTAAATTCTTCAATCGCATTTCTTTTATAATTGCACGTTATTGCAATCGTGTTTGTACCTTTTCATATGTTTTAGCTCAATGTTAATTACCGCGTAAGTTACTTACTTTCACTACTGCAGTGTAATGGAAATGTTTCTGATGTAGGAGTAAATGTAAGTGCATTACTGCAATAGAGGAAAGTAAATGTTATCAACAAATGTAATTAAATAATTGAGAAATTAATAACTCTCTTTACGATAGAGGAATGTGAAAAAAATAAACGGACGCGCGCAAACATTCGTCTAGTTAGTAGCTAAACGTTCGCTCGTTCGGGCGATTTATGATTGTGTCTCATAAATCGCGAATGATTGATCGTGGCCGACCGCTCTCTCTTCGCGGCGCAACAAACAAATAATTATGTCACACGCCGCCGCGCCGCCAGCATGCCGTGCTCGTTTGCAGTAGCAACACAGAAAACAGCCGGTGGCAACGGGGCGAAAACAAGAAGCCTCATCTCGGTCGGCCACGAGTCGACGAGTCAATGAACCAAACTCGCATATATAAGCGATAAATCGCCGCGGTCGCGCTAAGATCATTCGCAATACAGTCCGCGCGGTTCGTCGGGAGAGATGCATCGAGGCTAAGGCGCGGCGCGGCGCAGCGGCGCGGCGGCGGCGCGTCATAAGATGCACGCGCGGAACGAACGTGCACTGAGGAAAAAGAATTGTACGAACTAAATTTGTATAGTTGTTTTGATCGAATGGTTGATTTGACATTTCTTCGGTTGCACAAAAGAAAAGTACATAGTTCATTCATGTCAACCGTCAAAATGTTTTAATCAAGAATTAACTAAACCAACCCAATTAAATTATTTTGCTCGAAATACCAGTAATATTTATTTGCACACGCTATTTAATTATCCAAGTAATATATTTGTTCAAATTCCAAGTATCAAACTGACTAAACGATGCTGATGGGGATAATAAATAGTGCGTATAATATTTAATCGAACGGTTAAGTTAAATACGATAAATTTTTGTTAAAACAAAATAGTTTAGTTAAAAAAATTTAGTATTTTGTTTATAATAGTAACAAATTATTTTGTGTCATCGTAGTAACGTTTAGTTGAGCGTATCGGACTAAATATTCTGGTAAAATGAAACAAATTTTGTGTTTTTCAACAAATTTTTTTTCTCAGTGTGCGAGCCGACGACCAACGGCCGTGGATATGCACGTGTGTGTGTGTGTGTGTGTGTGTGTGTGTGTGTGTGTGTGTGTGTGTGTGTGTGTGTGTGTGTGTGTGTGTGTGTGTTCGCGTGCGCGTGTACTCGAGCAACCGCGAGCCGATCGCGTCGAATGGATCGATGTGGAAATTCCTCTCTTTGACCTCTCGAACCAGGCCAAGCTACTTTAACCCCTTTAACCGTTCAGTCACCACATGGCGTTGCCGCGTCGTTCTTTGATAACGACACAATCTACGAACTGGACTATGAAAACGGTCACGCAGACCATCTTCCATCTCCCTCGGTCTCCCTCTCGCGCGATCATTTCTTCGCCCCCGTCTCTCTCCCTCTTAAAAGAAGAACCGCCACATCACGGACACGACCGGGCGGATTTTTTTCGCGATTCCCAAGCAATTCCCTACTAGTCTCGTCGCCACGTCACTCGATACATATACGCGTTTCTCATCTGCTGTTATAAGTACGTTCGCATTCCTTTTTCGCATTGAAACACTTCGTCGCGTTACAATGTTACGCGATAGGTATATAAAACGTCCCCAGTATTCACTTACGTCGAATTCAAAATCGACTTTTAAAAGTTTATATAGATTATAATAGCTCAACTCTCTTAAATTTCTTAATCGTGTAGAGTTTGATTTGTTAGGGATTATTATGGGTATTATGAATACTTCCATCAACTTTCCGATTTATTCGAAGTGTGACGGTTCAGTTTTGACGGTTTTGCAAGATAATAGCATTAATGTCAGTGTTTTTTCAGAATTTATCTCTTGCTAGAAAAAATTATAAAAAACAAAGGAAAATATTTTGATTAAGGTCATTAAGGCATTCGTACAATAAATCAGTTTTTGAAAAAAAAATCCTTGAAACTAAATCACACTCCTACACTACGCACCTTGATTGACAATTAAATTGAGAGATAAAATCTCTCCCTGTTAAGTTTTCAAAACAATTAAAGGAAAAAGTGGTCCAGAACTTTTCGACTCAATTTTTTACAAGGAATAATGCTACATATTATAATTAATAGGCGCTATTTAAGGTACATTATATATGTATTAAAGTGGGCCGAAAAAAATGTTTTTAAAAATTGATTAGTAATAACCCCGAAAGTTAGCTATGGATCTCAATAAGGTCTGGGTAAAATTCCATCGAAATCGATTGATATCTTCAGGTTGCCCCTCAATCTTGCGATTAGTAAATTTATGTATTTCTTGATAGATGTGTCAAAATTCGAAATAATACTTGAATTTTAATACAGTTTAGTATTACCAGTTGTTTTTTAGTCGCTGAACACAAATCCGAGGTCAGAAATATACATTTCAAAATGTCGGAAATATATTCTTAAATAGTACATAAAGATTTCTCGAAAAATATGATAGATACGGAAAAACGTTTCAAATAAAAATTGTATGATTTAGAAGGGGGCATAAAAAGGTATCATTGATTTTATTTTGGGCGGCGTCGTTAAGATCACATCAAGATCACATCAATTTTTTTAAACGGAATTATATTTTTTTTACATAATACGATTCCTCTAATTATTCTCCATATAAAAATATTAAGGTAAAATTATTAAAAAATCAGTATTTTTTCCAGATATTTTATACTTTATTATGCCATATTTCGATATAATATGAAATATCATCTCATAAACTATTCATTTCTTGATAATGGTATCTAATATTTGTATAATATATCTTATATTTTTATAAGGCACAGAATAATAAGTTGAATTCAATCAGATGAAATCAATTGGTGTAAAAAAACACACAGTTGTTTTAAAAATCTGTAAGAAATGCATACTTACTAATTTCAAAGTTGAGGGGCAACCTGAAGATGTTAATCGATTTCGATAAAATTTTACCTAGATTATATTGAAGTTCATAGCTAACTTTTGTATATTAACTTTATATATATATATATATATATATTAGGGCCAAAAATAATTATATATACATATATATAATTATAATAAATAATCCTTTTGGTGTCTCCGATAATCTCTGAAAGTTTGTCGGTTAAGTTTTCGAACACCCTGTGTATATATATATATTTAACCGACACACTTTCAGAGATTGCCGGGAGCACCAAAAGGATCATTTTTTGCAAATGGACCTAGGATCGGACGCGTGTCGTTACACAGATACAACTGGGAAAAAATATAAGTTTTATAAAAAATTGTTTCAGACAAAAGTTATAGGGATCTACAATTTTTGTCTAAAAATTTGTTTATAAAACTTATATTTTTTGAGATATTTCCAGGTCCGACCTTTTTCGAACACTCTCTGCCGTAGCGGTGTAACGACGCTTCCTAGGTCCATTTGCAAAAAGTAATCCTTTTGGTATCCCCGACAATTTCTGAAAGTTTGTCGGTTGAATTTTCGAACACCCTATACATACAGGATGCACCTCAAATAGCACCTATTAATTATAATATGTAGCATTATTCCTTGTAAAAAAATTGAGTCAAAAAGTTCTAAATCATTTTTTCTACAATACTCAATGAATTAGCGATCATTACTGCAGTAATCATTACTTCATTAAGCACTGTAGAAAAAAAATGTTTCTTTAATAGTGCTCACTAATCGTATAACGTTGTTCCTTATAAAAAATTTAGTCGAAAAGTCCCGCGGATACGCGCGGTTTTTACCTTGCAAATGCAGCGGAAGCAGCTCGTGTTCAGGATCTTGTCGACGGTGATATCTTCCCCCTCGATGTCACAGGTCTCCCGGCTTCCTGCAATCGAACAACAATAGTAGTAAAAAGAGTGAACAGGCAGAATCACTCACGCTCGCGCGCGTGATATCGGTTTTATATCACGCCGCAATATCCCGGTGAACGTGATAGAGACGCTATAATCACAATGTAGCATTCCAGCCGACCTTCGCGTGCCGGAAGTTTCCTCGTTCCTTCGTACACGTCGTACATACGTGAGCCGAGCGCTCAAAGATTTAATTACTGCTGCGTTTTGGATATAACGATCGTATCCGCACGCGATAGACGTAAATCGATTTCAATAATCATTTCTAATAATGTTCTAATAAAGACTCCACCAGTCGCCGAATTAATACGAGGTACTGAAATGCCTTAGTGCAATTGCGAACGAGCGAAATGCCGCGCTTTCTCCGTTTAATTAAATCGCGACTGGAATTGGAATTGAGTGTTCACGTGTTAAGACTATAATTTTAGACAGCGTTGACAGCGTTTTCTCCGGTTCCCGCGGACTTTTTTCGTCACGGAATAAATTTTCCGTACGTGTAAAATTTATGCGAGAAACGTATTTCGCAAGTGTCTCTTAAGATCAATTCAAGATGACTGAAATAAACTCTTCCAGAGCAAACGGGCTTTCAATTTCTTTTCGAACTTTATATTCTCTCTCGATCCCGTGTCCTGTAAAAAATTAAACGCGACAACACGTCGTGAACGTACCTTAGGACACACCCCAGTCCGTTAAACTGTCCGTTTCCCAGTGAAAATCATGTCGCGCTCCGCTGCTAGGTCGACGAAGTCGCCATCACCACCAACGTCCCTCCCGGTTCCCTCGCGCACGTATTCCTGCACACTTTAAGTAACTTTTTTGTAAAACTCCAGTCATTTCTCGCGCTTCTCTGTCTCTCTCTCTCTCTTTCTCTCTTTTTTCTTTCTTTACACTCTCAAAGCGTAATCCACCGAACCGTTAAATTTTGTAACCAAGCCACGTTCGTTTCTTTAAATTTCCATTCAAGTATGCACGAGAGAGCGCGTGATTGACATTTTTTTTTATTACTAATGTTTGTGGCTTTATTTTTTTTTTGTGTGTACTTTTAATTATTTGTTCAGACGGAATGTGTCACATTGCAGAGCAGAATAAAATATCGCCTTTCTCACTTTTCTTTTTGCCTCTCCCTCTCATCGTTCTCCCATGGAGACGATAATCTGGCGTTTTTTTTTTTTCCCTCGAGAAAGCGCTTTGTGCGTACTCTGTCACTGCTCTCAGAGATTTAACGCGTCGTGCAGTTTTCGAGGCGAATTCGTATCGTCTACCCCTTCGGCTTATTTGTGTATCTCTCCACGAGAAATCTCACGAGAGAGGATCAGTTATTCGCTTCGTCGACGATTTTTCGAACGAACGATCGCAAAGTTTTTCCGAATACTGCCACTTTCTGTCAGGAATGTTTAAAGAGCCCAGACATTTTTATCACATATATATGACTAAAATCGACTACTGTCCGATTTTTAAATGTTTGTCCTGTTTTAAAGAGCTTTAAAAAATTACATCTCAATATTTCTATTTTATAATGTAACATCAAAAAATATTTGCAAATACAATAAAATAGTTTGAAATAATAAATCGTCATAACAAAATTTTATATGTATATATATAGCATTATAAAATCAATGGAAATATTTCTGCGAAATGCGTAAGAGAAAAAAAAAATTTATTTCCAATTAGTTTATAAATTGATTTAAGAAGTCGAGCCCATTGATTCGAGAGAAAAATTGATTTAATCATATCCTTACTTCTTTATCAAAATCGAGAAATTAACTTTGTAATGGTTTCATAAAAAATTATTACGCAAAAAGAAGTAGAAATAAACTAAAATTGATTATCTATTCCAACCGCGAACTGACTTTCGTAACTTTTCTCGGAACTCCCCAGAAATGTATCAAACATCGAAAGCGGTGTTGTGACGGCTATTAAATAGGTAGTGACATCATGAGTGCAGCTCGCAGAAATCACGTCGTAAAAGTAAGTGGCAGTAGTCAATCGGAGATTGCTCGTTCGTTTTCGAAAAATTAATACTGACATTATTAATGAGACAATTATCACATTCACTTTTATTGCTTCGTTAACTATTCGAGAAAAAAAACTTTGACATATTACTTCAAAGTGCGCAGGAATGCGTGTGCAAGAAAAGTTGGCTGGCGTTCACGACCGTTTCCTTCTGGACTTTATCCTTCTTTCGTTTTTACTCATCTGTACATTCTTTTCTTTCCATCCTCCCGGTTTATGTCGTCCGTGATCTTTCATGGAAAACAGCAGCGAAACACACGTAGGTAAGCACAAATCGCGAATTTGTGCCTGCTACGTACCTAAGTTTAAAACAAGTTTTGCACCGCAACCTTCTCTTTCTCCTTTATCTTAATTATCTTCTCTGATTTCCTTCTCCCATATGTTTTTTCCTTTTTTTTCTTTCTTTCTCTTTTCCATCTCTTCCGGGTGCTTTCCTCTTTCTTTCTTTCTTTCGCTCCTCGAGCTATTGCTATTTGCACGGTTAAAAACTCGGAGAGCAGCTGAAGAGAGCGCGCAAACAGTGGCATGAAACTTATGCTTCATTCAGTCAGATGCCAATTTTACGCGTGCGATGTAAATGTAGTATAAACTTGAACGTTTGAGAAAATTAATACTTTATTTGCCATGATAATTATACAAAAATCACACATGGAAACTATAACATTCACATATGCGAATGAATTTTATTCTTTTTTTAATTTATATAATTTATATATACACGTATATATAAAGGATTAAACAACGCGCAAAAATTAAGTAGAAAACTATCATTTATATATACAAATGCCATAATTCCTAAGAAAATACAGACTTCATTAATGCATACACGATATGGTAATCAAAGCGTAAAATTGAAACTTTAATTAAATTTCATAAAATATATAAAACTTAATTTAATTATGTACTCGTAATTATAAATCTGTATTCATAACTATAATTATTAGATTAAAGGACTTTAATGACAGAGAATTTGATTTAATTGAGAATTAATTTTTTTAAAGACTACTTGATCGTTTGCTGAGATTTCAATTAAATGTCTTAAAAAAATTAAAAATTTCTCTTGAATAATATTATATTTAAACTTTATTTGTTAACGTAACAGATTCTATCTTTTACTATCTTTAATAACTCGTTTATAATTTCGATATAAAGTGATAAAAAGTACATAGAAATCTTGACTGAAGAAAAATCATGTTGCAAAATATTCTATTAAAATTGTTTCCAACTATAATATAGCTTAATTTGCATATTAACAGTGTCATTTTTTTCCCGACGATTAGTTCTCATTGCCGACTGCGACAGCAGGAGAGCGGAGCAATTAAGAACGCGATGCGTCAACTTGTTTAGACAAAAAAACTAACTCCTATATTTAATCCTAAGCTTAGTAATACTAAGAGAATAGTCAAACTAAAATAAAAGTTATAAACAAATTGATCTTTTATTAGGTGTATGCAAAAATTTTAGTCCTTTTTTTAGAAGACTCTTTTAGAAAGCTCTGATATAATTATTTAAAGGGTATTTTAGTATTTGATATAATTATTTAAATGGTATTTTGATATTTGGTATAATTAAATAAATTCTCGTTTTTTTTACGTTTTCAAAGAATTAGAAAAACAAAAAAAACAACTTACTGGACAAGTAAACCGGAAGATCATTTTGCTACATAACAATGTTAATCTGCATGTTGCTCATATTCAGTAAACCATGTTTAATTTGAGCTGAAGAATTTTCTTGCACATGACGTGTTCCACCAGACTTGGCGCCTTCGAATTATTACTTATTCCGATCGATATAACATTTTTTAAGTAACTGAGAAGCGCTTTCGAGATGTAAGATACAAAAATATTTTTTTTCCTAAAGGAATCCGAAATTTACTTGAGAAATAACAGAAAATCATAGAAAACAAGGAGAAACGTTTTGATGATTAAATATTATTACATATGTGCATATGTATATTATGAATCTGGCCCTCAATTGTGTATCTCGGAATAAGGTGAAAATTACAAAAGTGGGTAAATTCACTAGAATATTTTTAATTTTATTGGCAAATATCTAGTGAATTTTCTCATTTTTATAATTTTTACCTCGTTTCAAGATACTCAATAATCGAGCCCCTGAAGTAAAAACGTGCGAAAAAAGACTAAAACTTTTGCATACATATGCCCAATATTATTTTTTTACGTTGATTTTATTGCGATTCGTATGTCATAAAATAAAAGAAATAAGATTAGAAAATACGCATGAATATGAATTAAATATATTTGATATTTAATATCATATATTAAATTTCAAGCTGTATTTGAACTGTAAACGAAAATCTGTAAGTTTAGGTAACGAAAAATACTGACGTCTTATGTACTTCCAAATTTAGGATTAAGGGCCGAGTCACAGACTTTTACATAACGCTGCATAACGCATAAGACATAAACCATAAGAAAATCAACTAATCAGTGTCCTTCATTTCATATACTCTCATTGGTTGATTTTCTTATGCCTTACGTCTTATGCGCAGGGTTGGGTAGTGGCTAGTTAAAAAGATAAAAGTTAAGTTAAAAAGTTAAAAAGTTAAATAATTTTAACTTAACTTAGTTACATTAGGCTCTTAACTTTTAACTTAATTTAGTTACATTTTATCGATAACTATTAACTTTTGAAGTTCTAACTTTCTTGAAGTTACACTTTTAGTGCTTCTTGTAAATCCAAAATAAAATACATGTCTAAGTTAGTGTCTTCGAACTCAAATTTGAGAACACACATCAAGGCAATTGTAATAATATAATAAATATAGTCTGACCGCGAGAAGGAATCACTGTTCGCGGATCTTCTGTGCATTAAATCACGTTGGAAAAAGTCCTTCGAAATCGATCCTCTTTCCGCGGCTCGACAGAAATAAGTATAACAAATATATACTTTATATTTAGAAACTTTATTTAAAAATCTTTTATTTAAAAATTATAAAATGAAAAAATTTAACTTTAACTTTTCAATTACTTTTTTTTTATTAACTTAACTTTTAACTCAATTAAGTTTATTATGGACTAACTTGTATCTTAACTTTCAATTTTTAGACTAGTTAACCCTAACTTAATTCATGTAGTTAGAAAAAAAATTAACTTACCCAACTCTGCTTATGCTTTATGCAGAATTATGCAAAAGTCTGTGTCTCTCGGCTTTAATTATCAGACGGAACGAAGCCACGTTGCGTAAACCTAATCGGTCTCGGACGGCGCTAATGCGGCGCTAAGTTGGGCACTCTCGGGATACGAGATATGTCGATGTCCTGCGGCTACAGCGTATCGAAATTAGCGTTTATCGAGTTGTACTTTGCTGTCGCGACTTCTGGCGAAACAGCCGCTGGTCGCAGATTGGCCCTGGATAGTTAGCGGGAATGCAATTTCCCGAAAAGCACGTCGCGTCGCGTTGCTAGCTCGATTACGCCTCGAGCGAAGAGAGAATCGAGCTTCCCGGCTGACAAACGCGGACAATTTCCGAGATGCGTTTAATGCTTATATCGTGTGCAGGGTTGGAAAAGTTACTTTGTAAAAGTAATTAGTTACAGTTACAGTTTTTGTCTCTCAAAAAGTAACTAGTTACTGTTACAAGTTACCGACTCTGAAAAGTAACATGTTACAGTTACAGTTACACAAAAAGTAACGAATCGTTACTTTTCAGTTACTTTTAATAGAACAACATTAGCATTATAAAAAAAAGATTTACATTTACATATTATATATAATTTTATTTGAAAAAGAAAAGTAATGCTCGTATTTAAATATTTCGCATAATTACAATCAATATTACGATTAAGTGATTGAGCGAAGTATTGCATAATTTTGATCTATGTGAGTGATGATTTGACATATACAAAATAACTGTAAAAGTAACTATTAAATTAATTACTAGTTACTTAAAAAATCTAACTAAGTTGCAGTTACACATAGAAAGAAAGTAACGAAGTTAAGTTACAATTATTGAAAAAAAAAAAAAAATTGTAACTATAATTTACAAGTAACGAATTACTTTCCAACCCTGGTAACGCGTTGCGACGCACAGGCCTGAAAAAAGAACGCGGAAGGAACGAGGGAGGATGGATATCTACGCACTCGTTGCGCTCCGGTCGTAAGTGGCCGAACTTACCGCTCGTTGTTTCCACACGGATACGATTACTCCACTTATACGCCCGATGCGATTTCCGCCGTCCGCAACGAAAATGACGCACGCGCGCAAAAGTGCCCAGGGGATGCGGTTATCATCCGTAAATTGAACTCCGCCGGGCTGACCTTGTGAAATCGACTTTGTTGTCGTTCACCGATATCTTCCACAATACGCGCAATTATTGATAAGTGATTGTAAGTCGCGGGAGTAAATTGCTCGAATGTTAAGGAACATCGACGCGCGAAATCACATCGCTGAATTGGATAATTTGTAAAAATTACAAGTAAAAAAATTACAACTTCGGTGGTATACAGATTATGTGAAAAAGCTTTGCAATTTTAATCGTTAGTTCATTTAAATAATTTATCGTTTATTTAGATGATCGATCTTTTTAATTTTTGATTACAGAGTCTTCTCTTTATTGTGCAAATCTGTATTCAATTCATTTCATTATGAATATATATGAATTCATGAACGAGTGAAATATTAGTTCAACACGTAGTCTTCTTTTTGTCTAATTTACTAGCTGTTCTTTAAAAATTATAGAACGCTGGGAAAAATTAAAATCTTGTTTTTATGTCTATATTTTTTAAAAATTTATTTCAAAAGATATAAGAAGAAAACTTTCTTTTAATATGTAAAATGTCCATTTAAATAATTTGTGCATAAGAGTTGAACGGATTAGAACTCAATAATAGATCGACACGCACGATTTTGTTATCCAGTACGATATATTTGCATATAATATAAAAAATAATTTATATATATAAATTATTTCAAAAGATATAAGAAGAAAATTTTCTTTTAATATGTAAAATGTCCATTTAAATAATTTGTGCATAAGAGTTGAACAGATTAGAACTCAATAATAGATCGCACGATTTTGTTATCCAGTACGATATATTTGCATATAATATAAAAAATAATTTATATATATAAATAACTATAATAAAATATCAGATTAAAATCTTTTTAATAAAAAATTAAGCCTAACGTTTTCAACTACTTATGAATTCAACTCAAAAGCTTAATAATTATAAAACATTTGATTATTCTTTGGCATCCGTCATAAAGTCATAAATTTTAATATCCGATATCGCTTAGAAATGTTTCAAAAATGCTCTTCCTTTTCCACTTAATATTTCGAGTTTATAGAACGTACTTGAAGATTTGAGGAGTGATTAAACAACAATAATTTTGATTGTAATTACGAATATTTTTAATAAACTATTCTTATGCTAATCCCAATGAGAAACGATCTTCAATTCGATGTTGAATCGATGTCGAATTGACGTCGATACGATGATTTCGACGTTGATTCGACATCGAGTTGAAAGCCATTTCTCACTGGGATTTGCAATATTACGGATATTCCATATGCACTCTTCGGATGGAATGACTTTCGCAAAGTTAACGTTAAAATAAACGCGTAGGATCTTGTGAAAATAGCAGCAAAAATGTGGCGTACAACGTGTGACTGTAAAAAGATTTCTTCCGATTAATTTGCCGTGATAACTCGTGTAAACTCACGAGCGAACAAAGCGATTCTTGCGAGAATGCGATTGCGGAGAGACGGCGCGACCTATCCCGCTCGCGATGACTCGCTGTGAGCCGTGATGAGATTCGACTCGATTCCGGCGCAAATAGAACAGGCAGATAATGGAGATAGGCTAAGAATAGAGCATTTAAAAGGCGTAAATGGAGCGTGACGGACTCGCACGCGCGCGAGCGTACTGCGAGATAGCAAAGCAGCTGGAATCGGGAATTCGATCGCTTCGGCGCCGATATGTATTCCCGCGCAGCTCTTGTCAGGTCTTGTCCGCCGCGTACTTATATTCGTGTATCGCGGAAGTATCACTCGACACAACTATATTACGAAACGCGAATGAAAGCGAGATAAAAAAACGTAGTTTTACGCCGCCGACCGCTAACACGTGATATTTCTGCTATTTCTTGTCATTGATTTCTTTATATCATTCACGTTCGAGAAAACAACGAGAACGTTCGTAATTATTATCAAGAGAATTATAATACCATAGTAAAATTGTGTCTTGAGATTATTTTAACGTCAAGATAGAAACTGAAAGAAAAGGAATTTTTAGTGGTGCAATCACTGTACAGATTAAGGGATTATCATTATGAATACAGTAAATCCAATTTGCAAAATTTAAATGAAATATACAGCGGTTATATGATATAATTTTTGCTTCTTTTTGGTGAAAAACGAGACGTAAATGAATATAATAGTATTCTCCTCACTTTTAGTCCCCATTTGATGTAATCTATAGTATAATTTGTGTAATTTATAGCGATAAAATTGTTTCTTAACCGGTAATTAACTTGTTTGCGTTTAGTTACGCGTAAAGTTTTATCGTAGAGTATTTAATCTCTCAACTACATTAATCTTAGAATGTTACACAATCCTTCTCAATATTATGTTACTATTTACAATTATAATAATACTCTGATTATTCTATTAAAAAGTAAAAACAGTTTTTCTTTATCTTCTTTTTTATATAAATAATCAGAATTCGGAAGATCTCGTAAGATACCTACATCTTATAAAAATTAAAAGAAATAATAATAATTCTGATTGAATATTTTTTTACCTGACTGTAATATTCCAGAATTACTTTACTTTTTCGAAAGAGCACTTTCTAATTGCACTTTAATTACTACGAATACATCCGATGCATACAAATATATGCATATATCGAGTACCTTGATGCTTCGCGCGCGGAGAACAGCGCGATGGCATTTCTCGTCTATATCTAATTTGGATGTAGCTAAATGGCATCGATCGAATTTCGACGTTGGCATCCCTTTCAGTGCGATCACTAGTCAGCTATCGAAATAACACGCTCGCAATCGTCGCGTGCGTCGCGCGTGCTTTCTGTGCGCTCGTGCAATACTTACCTATTATACTTTCTGAGGCGGCGTCACAACGGTGTACTGTCGAAAGAAAGGCCAGGGCCAAAGCCAGAGCCAGTGTCGAAGGTAATCGTGTCAATTCCATGTTTAGATGTACCGGATCTCCGACTCTGCCGCGACAATTTGCTGAAAGAATAACAAACAGGATAATCATTTACGTGTTCTTACTTTCCTTTGATTGTGCCATAAAATTACAAAAACATCTGAACAGATTTATATTTTCAAAATACGAGCCAATGTTTATTTGTTTAAAAAATGCCTCCGATGATGATGGTGTTTCTGCTAAACTTTTGCACTAATTTTGAACAATAACTACGTAAGCACTCTGAACAGGATTATCCACTGGAAAGGAGTAAATTCATATTAGGGCTGGTGATTTGCTTTGAAGGCTTCGAACTTCCAAGATTCAAAGCTTTGGCATTAAACCCTTCGAATTTTTTTGGAGCTCCGAAATTTCGAAGTTTCGAAAAATACATTCGTGCAAATGATAAATTTATTTAGAAAATTTATAAATATTGTAAATAAAAAAAATTAACATATATGCTCAAAATATACGAAATTACTCCTGAAAAATTTAAAAGTATTATAACCTGAAATATTACTAACTATATTAAACTTGACACATATGTAAATAAGGAAAGATAATGATCATTAAAACAATCCAATTAAGAAAATGAAAAAAAAGTAAAAATAAATTTATTCTCAAACTTCGAAGTTAATTTTAAACTTCGAAGCTTCGAATATTCGAAGTAAGTAAAAAGTAACAGCCTTAATTTATATCAAAGCAAGAATAGCCTTGCAAAATATGAGCAGCTCGTATTTCATTTCAATTTATACATATTTAGCTTTCTGAAATAATTCAAAGACATTGAATTCTAAAGATCAACTCTACGTAATGCGTAATACGCATCCCCTCTTCGTTTATTTAAAGTGCTTAGAGTAGATTTAAAGATATCATCAAATATATATGTGTGTATATATGTATATTATATACATATATAATCATCATTGATTCATAGTCTGATGCATTTCCGCGATTTCCATACGTTTGTTAGACGCATAAATTTCCGCGGCGCAACGCGGAACTTACATATGTGCGTATATTTAACCTTTCTCGTCGATCACGCGCTCATGTTTTTATTTAAAACAGCAAATTGTTTAATCACTCCGCAAATCTTCAAGCACGTAACGTAAACTCCGAAATATTAAGTGGTATAATAAGTGGAAAAAAGAGTGTCTCGGGGGAGAAACGAGCCGCATGAAAGGGAAATCGAAAGTAAAGAGAAATAGTGGAATATATATATAGGTATTGCGATATTGTACTATTCTGATTGATCAAGAACGCTGGCGCCCAAGTATTCAACACGTTAAATGCGTAGGGGATACCGGAGCTCGTTGGCACAAGAGGCAAATGGGCATTGCGTTCCGTTTATGTATTTATGATTAAAGAAACAATGAAAAAGTTACCGTAAAATATCTCTTTTATAACATAAGTACATTTCTTTAAGTTCATTTGAACTTTAAGTTTCATTTGAATCAAATAAGTATTTCAGTAAAGAAAAAGTAAAATCTGATTGAAGAGAAGGCAAGTAAATTCTCGAGTGTTTCAAAATTTCGTATTAATGTTCTTCAGCTGGAGAGAGTAAATTTAAGTGATGTATTATTAGTTAAAAGAAAAATTTTTGTTGATATACAACATGTTATTTTGAGTAATGATTACAATTTATTAAAATAAAATGATTTAAATTATATGTCTGTAAAAGGATGAGGCACGTTTTGGCTCATATTTAAAGTTAGCTTAGATTAATTTACTGTAAGCAGCGTGTAATCTTTCAGTTACAACTTAATTATGACAAAACGTTTTTTATTTAATATATATATTTTTTAAATAAGCTATGTCTAAAACAGTTTACATTTATTATTTTATAACAGCATTTACTATTTGATCATTACAAAATAAAAGGTGCTATCTTTTTTTTTAAGAAATACGATCTGTTTTTACTTCTATTGTATTTTCATTAATTTAAATATGGAGTTTATCGCTTAAGCAATTTACCTATGTCAACTTATCTGACTATCGGGGTAAATTGGCTACATTGCAGCATGCTCGTATTTCACTTACTACAAAGAAACTATATAGTATACAGAATCGTTTCTGAAAATATAGAGAAAAGTTCATTCTACCATGCACGGAAAAAATAATTTTTGCTGAATCCAGATCTAAAAATAATATTTGTTCAATAATCAAAATAATTTTGTGAGAAAGTCAAAATAATTGCTAGAATATCAAAACGTTTTATAGCAAAATGCTTATCAATTTTAACATCCCAACAAAATTTTTTGATGATTCAACAAGAATTAATTTTCAGATCTGTATTCAGTAAAATTTTTAGACCCTTCAACAAAATCGTTCTTTCCGTGTATTAATATATAGTTTAATCATAATAAATAGTTGCTTAAAAACTATAGTTTTAAAGACTGGAAAGAAAACCGGTTTTCTTCAATTTTTCCGCGGATTTTTTCGATTTCTTTCTCAAGGGATAAAAAAACTCAATGGAAAATTTCGTATATATTCAAAAAATCTATCACATTTTACATTTGCAACACTTTAATATGCTTTTTGAAATTTTAAAATTTTATAACAAGCGTACATTTATTGCTGATAATGTTAAATACAAAAGTAATAAACAGCTAATTACACAAGAATAATAAATAAAAAAACAGAATTAATGTATTTTTCAAATCAAACATATGGCTCTTGACAGTTATTAATAATCAAAACTCTGTAAAAATACTTAATATAAACATTAACTTAAATTAATCTTTACACTAAATCCTCTAAGGAATATGGTATTCAAATGTAAATTCTTATAAAAATAAATCACATAAAGTCACTTACATTACTTTCTGAATCCCAATTAATATTTAATATGATGAAAAATATAAAAAATTAGGTAGTATATTGTTTATATAGCAATTTTTTGCAAAAAAAGCAATTTTTCGGAAAAAATCGAAATTTTTCTAGTTTTTTCTAGCAATTTAAAAAAAGCAGTTTTTTAAAAACTATATTAAAAACTACAGGAATGTTTAAATTGTGATAACTGTGCCAACGAGCCCCGGTCTCCCCTAATCTCCAAATCTTGGATGAGCCTAACGAGTCTTGTTTGATTAATTCTCTATAAGCGATCGCGAGAGTTAAAATTCACGTTAGCGAATCGCGCTGCGCTGCGCCGATCGCCGAAGCGATCTGTTCTTCAATCGATTACGAAATATATCTACGCGGCTGTATCTTTTGTATGCAACGCGAGTATCGTTACACCCACGACGAAATATCTTTCTGTCTCTATGACGGTAAGGTGACTCGACAAATCTATTAATACGTGCGCACACGTATCGCTCGCCGAGGAGGCGAGAGCGCCATATCGATGGGCACGATCGCGAAAAAGAACGAACGAGAAAAAAGATGTAACAGTCAACCGCGCGGCAGAGGATCGAGAATCGATGAAATTTATTAGTCGATTCTTTCGTTCGGTTTGAACTTCACGAGAATATTTCTGAACGCATAGCGAACTGCGAACGAATAGATTGCGTCAAGTGCGAAGATAAGTATATTAATCACGCTCAGTTTTAGTTACTCGAGTCGTTTATTTCGAAAGTCGTTTAGGTCAGCTGAGAGATACTTGAATTGCTATGCAATGCCGTGCTTTCATCGCATATTTATGATAATATATGCGACAAGTTAATGTATGAAACGTCAATATATTAATTGTACTTTTTACCTTTTATCTTTTGCCCGTCATAATCTCATAAAACTCTACTGAGATAAGTACTATATAGTAGTATATACTTTGTACATTAGTTAAAAAAAAATAGCTCGCTCGCAGAGGCGGTACGTCTTTCCCGACCCGTATATTATGTAAATTTCCTACACGCAAAAAAATGACTTAGCGTTATCAGCAGCTAGTTCGAACTTTGCTGTCATTGTTAAAAGTTAGCTATTATAAGATAAATTTATTTGTTGCGAGATACAATTTTATTAGCTAAAATAAAAGCTCACTTTAACAGGAGCTGTAGCTAAGAAAGTGGCATACGGAAAGAATGACTTTGCTGAGAGAAATTTAAAAGTTTTGCTGGATATTCCTCAATAGGAAGAACTAAACGTCATTTGTGTCAAGCAGCAAATATTTTTCGCTGCAGCGCCTAAATTTGAACAACTGAATAAATTTAGCTTTGGCAGTAACGATATTAGCTATCCCTATTTTAAAGACACACATTAACTGCCACGGCTATATCTTACAATTAATTAGCGTTGGCTAATCCTTTTTCACGGCTATATCTTACAATTAATTAGCGTTGGCTAATCCTTTTTCTGCGTGTACGGAACAATTCCTTGAAATGCAGTTTTCCTAGATACTCATCCAGTTACTGTTTACTCACTCAGGGAAATGTTTCGCTGTTCCAGCTGGAATTCTAAATTCTATTACAATCTCTATTACAACTCTATTACACTTAAATTACGTCGCTGTTTTTTTTGTATCTGCTAAAAAATTGTCATACGTAGAATTTATAGCAGCAATATTCTAAGAATACATACTAGAAAATATTGGTCTCATAACTAAATATGATTAGAGTCTGGATTGGAGTCTGGACTGACTAAACGTCATAGAAGAACTTTCTTGCTAAATTTGACAAATAGTTAAGATATAATTTCTGTCTCTATTATCTATAATCTATATTAATTAAATACAAAACATGATATCACAGTGCTTACTAATCAATTATCCGTTTTAGCTAATTTTTCGTACCTAAATAATTCTCGCTATAATCGCAAGATTACTTTTTTCAATGCTATGTCCATTAATTGTAACAATACTGCGTCGTGAAATAGACAAGAACTTGGTATAGATTTTCATTCACAAAATACGAAATATTACTAGGACAAAACTGCCAATTTCATGAGCAACAGGTTTGCTTATAATCAATTGAAGTCCATTTATTGCCTCATTTTTGCTCAGTATAAGTGAATTCAGATTTTGCGCATCTTTTGTGTGCACTGTGCAGTAAGTGCGCAGGCAAAGCGTTACATCTTGATTGAGATTCTAAAGAGTTTTACTTCTCAATTACTA